TTTCATGGGTATCGTAGCCCCATATTTCTCTTTCGAATGGTGAAAACCGCACCTCTCTATCTATCACCGTTCCGAAGCTATAAGGTCAACACTGACCGGCCATTCTATTTTGAAATGGATAGTAGTTCGTCTTTTATCTAGAAATTAATCGACAACGTCAAATTAAGTTTATTTATGACAATTGAGAGATCGCTCAAGGTCTACGACCTATAAGTCGAACTCTGCCACGTATATCAGACATACCAGTAAACTTATAGAAACAATATATAAACTAGAAAAAAATAAATAAATAAAAGAAACAAAATAAAAGATAAAATCATAGAACAAAACAAACTGAGAATGCTAGAATATAGATAACCAAACATTGTAAAATCAAAAAATTGGAAAGTGCTTTTTTGGTAAACAATAAAGAACAAGAAAGGATCGATGTTGATCGAAAAAAGAATAATTTGAAGTTTGAGAAGGAAAAGCGTTACTGATAAATTTTAAAGGAGTGAACAAGTCTAAAATACTAGCGATGAAGTGGCAAATTTGGAAGAAATAGTTGAGAAACGATAGAAGAATGAGAACTGCGATAGGCAAATTTATGTGAAATAATAAGAACAGCAAATCTATTTATAGAATTAAGAACAAAAGGAGAAAAAGAACTATCACAAACGGCACAGCAATAGTCAAATTTCGGAAGAATAAAAGAAAGGTAAACTGGATGGTAAACTTTGAATCACAAATTATTCAAAAAAACTAGTGATTATGAAACATTATCAGGTGTAGATTTATGCCTGTCAGCCTTGACATGTCAAATATATTAAAAAAATGATCGAAAATTTGTATTTAGAACCAAAATAAAACGTAAGTAAGACTGTTATATAACAGCTGACTACTATTCTCTTCTTCAGTTTATTAACTATTAAATCGCTGAAAACAAAAGAAATAAGTTTTGAACAAGGCATCATTTAATCGATTTTGGCTCTTTTTCTCACTGGACATCTGCGAATAGTGGAACAACAATTGAAATAATGGACCTAGTCAGATTTGTTTATGCAAAAAAAGATGTAGGAAACTGTCTGAAATATTTCTAACGTGTATTTTTTTAATTATAATTTATTTCTTCTTACATTAACAAACAATATCAACAATCAAATGCAATAATAACAGTGACTAGAACTTCGAAATGCACTCAAAGAATGAGAATGCAATACAAGGACAAGAAGTAGAGAGTGATTATACAGACTCGTTCACAACAGTATTGAATGATGCACAAAACATTCGTAATCGAATAGATCATTTCCATTCATCAGTGTTCGACTCTAGAACGATACGAGAAAAACGCTATCGGTATTCATCTTTACAAAATATTCTTCACATTGCTCTTTTGACATTGCTGTAATATTAATGAGTTTTAAATAAGTGATTAAGATATCAATTGATTATTGTTATCGATGTTCACTCCATGTATGTTATTAATGAGTCCATCAATGGCTCTTGTCAATGGTTTACAAAAACAATAACCACCAAAACATTCATCGAAATCCATATCTTGATTTGGCGTAAAGGAAGTTCGATTTATTTATATCTATAAACCATCCGTGAATTCATTAATCCCAAATCTATCCTTCTTCCGAATATTAAAGAAAATTACAGATTTACCGTCGATTGATTCAAGATGATTGATTTGGATAAAATTCTAACAGATTGAAAATTTCTGGTTGTAAACTTATGTTAGAAGTCTCTAGCATGCTAGAGACTGTATTAGATTTTAAGCATTGGTTTTTATGAATGCAGAAATGGATTATTTTCATGCATACAATCATCATCGAAATAGAATTATTTCTCAAATTTCGAATCATATATCTTCACAATTGAACGACTCAAATCAAATTCATTAATATAGTCATCAATATAAAATCAAATTTTGTTTTAGAGTTAGTTCATTTCATTAGGATCAGTTGTAGAATCAGACTGAGCATTATCATCAATTACAACATGTAATAATATTCAACATTTACTGCAATAAGGTGAAATAATACAGTTAGTGCCAAGATTGAAGGTTCTCAATCGACTGTACTTTAATTTTGAACAAAAAAGATTGTTCAGTCATCTAACTCGAACGATACCTCTATACTTACTTCTCGCTGCCGACTCCAAAGATGATATTAGTCTTGATCTAAAGTTCAATTGAAGTTCATAAATCGTTGAATACTGATCGAAAATCATGCCGTTTTGCTCAAAAATTTGGACCAATTTTCTCAATCATTTTATACAATTTCATAAGTTTCGTTTTATCAGTCGATGTTATTTATCACTGATGAAATATCCAGAAATTTGCCGTCAACGAGAAGAAAATTGCATTAAAAACGCAAAGACTTGTTTTTACGAGGCTTCACGCTGATGCCTAATCACAACGAAAGGTCATGGTGGTTGAGTCCTGCATCGGGATTTTTTTGGATTGAGTATTCTTGCAATAGATAATTGAGTTCGAATGCTAAACTTTTATCGAGGTACATGATTGATAGAGAGATTCTCTAGCAAAAGAGTCCCTTTTCAAAGATGGTTTATGTTTGGCCTCAGAGTAAAGGTCAACGGGTTGGTAGAGAATTTGATTCGCTGCCAATCGTGCAACTCGGAAAAAATTTAGCATTCGAACTTAGTTATCTATTGTACGAATACTCAATCCCGAAAAAATCCTGATGTAGGGCTCTACATGGTGGTCTCAAATTTTTGCAATAAATAGCCCATTCAATTGGTTAACTTTGGTACAGGGTTTCCGATTAAGGTAGAAAAGTAGAGGATATCTCCACTCTAAATTTCAGCACTGTCCGTCAGATTTTAAAAATTTTGTTCTGCCTAAAATGTGTAACCTTTTATTACCCTTTATTTAAAGGTTCTATTCATTTTACAAATGTTTCGCATGTTTAGAAAAATCTATCCGCCAACTTTTTAAAAAGACTGTCTGCCATAAAAATCTCTTCACCCTGATCAAAAACAATCGGAAACCCTGATTTGGTGAGTGTCAAAATTATTATAACAGTTATTATTTTAGGGCTGTAAAAATAAAAAAATTGACCTAAAGTCGAAAGAAGGCCACTAAGCACTACACGTACCTCGTAAAAACGGAAATAGCTAAAGAGGTGGTAATTGAAAGATGTCATTTCGGTAGACACATCAAAGTATTTTTCATAATTTTCAAGGCATTTTAATCTTGAATTAAGTTGTTTTTATTGAGAAAGAAAGCCAACAAACGAACCATGTTATACACATTACGCGCTGTTGTGTGAAGTCCCAACAATTTGTAATGTTGACTGATTTTTTGCCATTCTTCAAGTTTTCGTTCTCGGAAAATTTTCTAAATATCTCTGTGAAGTTTCAGCTTGGGCATGGCATCTACAGGTCTTCAAAGCTCGGAAAAATATTTACACTACAAGTCTCTCCAATCAGTTTTATATCAGTGTACAATCGATTGATCGATCATGGCTTACCTGTAGTGCCTTTTAATACGTGGTCAATACTTTGATTATCGCACGTTCTGCTTGCATCCAAAATGATGCAAAAAGAATAAACTTTTTCACAAAGACGTGTATGATACAGTCGAAAAACGACTGGTTGCGCAAAAAATCGGTAATGTCTGAAAAACAATCTATCAAGAATCAACATTTTTAAAAGCAAAATATAACAGATGCAAACAAACATGAAAAATTAAAGTTTAAAATAAAGCAAGTTTGTTTATTTATTTGTATGGTGTATACTGTTGATTAGTAAGCGATGATCCTGAAACTTGTGGACTAATCGATATTCGTGGTACAACATGTGGTTGTATATGTAACGTTGCTGTCTTCAATGGTACCTGTGGTGGAACGATGTTATCTAAACGAAATCTAGGTGAAGAATAATTTTGATTGTGAGCAGTATTAAATGATCGACGTAACATATCCGATTCTTGATGATGGAGAGGTGTCGACGTTGTTGTTGTTGTTGATGCCGGTGGAAGAATTGAATGATGAGCGTTGTTGCGCTTTTTTAAACATGAACATTGTGACCATTTACAGATAACAACCATGAGAATAACGAATAAAACTAAAATAATGCCAATAGTAAGACCAATAAAATCTTTTGTTTGAATTGTAGATGAAAAATCATCACTGGGATATGCAGATGAGGTGGAAGTAGGAATTTCAGTTGACACTAGAAAGAAAGAAAACATATTTGTTGACGAAAACCTTTTTAGCTAATCACCTGAATAGTTAGGTCAGAGCTTCTGTTCAGAAGCCATAAGCGTTCTGGACAACAACTATCAAGTTGACATTTTTTCAGCAATCTTTGCTCCCATTTTTTAGAAGAATTAGGCACGTATATTTTTTAGATGAATTTTTACAACATCAACTGACACAGGAATAAGACGATTGAATACAAAAATATAACAGAGTCTTTTAGAAACAAAAAAATGTTACTTACTTACTTTTCTTAAATGTCTTAATTTAATTTAATTTTAAATAAATCTTGTACTATTGTCATTATATCTACGATCTTTTGTTTCGTACGGAGAAAAAAGAAACTAAACAGTGCATAACTCGTAGAAAGAGAGAAGATTTATGTTCTTCAACTTATCCAAAGATAGTCACTCTCTATTTTACGTTCTGTTAAACAAAGAGCCTATGTTTTTGAAAGAGGTCGACGAAAGAGAAAATAAGTTTAGTGCACGTACACGTGTACACTATGAAAAAAACTCCTAATTCTACTTTTTGTACAAATCAAAAGAAATTGTCAGTTGAAATCTTTTTAGTAAGAAACTGGCCAGAAAACTGCTTTCGAAAGTTGTCTAGCGATCGATTAATACCACTTTCGCGTACGAAGTGACAGCTTTAGAAAAGCAACGTATTTTATTCCAGTATTTAACGGAATGCCTACGGTTTCAGAAAAGACTAAAGACGTTTCCTGTGAGTAGAAAAAAATATGGAAAGCGCGTCTCAATACTGTTTTTTCACACGATATTAGTTTCGATCTAAATCTGAAATGAAGTGCCTAAATCGAAAAACCAGGTCCTCCTCGACCAATTTTTTCAACCATTTTACAAAATCACATGAGTTTCTTTACATTGAAAACCCGCGGTTAGCGCCGAAAGTCATGTCTGCTATACAACTCTCTCCGGTCAATTTTGTATTGCAGTACAGTTGATTGGGCACCTTCGATCTTGGTTTATGTGCAATAATTGTATTATTTCACCTTATTGCAGTAAATGTTGAATATTATTACATGTTGTAATTGATGATAATGCTCAGTCTGATTCTACAACTGATCCTAATGAAATGAACTAACTCTAAAACAAAATTTGATTTTATATTGATGACTATATTAATGAATTTGATTTGAGTCGTTCAATTGTGAAGATATATGATTCGAAATTTGAGAAATAATTCTATTTCGATGATGATTGTATGCATGAAAACAATTCATTCCTTTCTTTTTTTCGTTTTCGGAAACCGGACTCTAACTATTTTTACTCATTCCGAACTTGCTCGTCTATTAGCTGACGCGACATGCAGAAGTGGCTAAGTCTGACCATTTCGAAATCCAAGTTCATAGTGGTTTTTGCATTACATACATTAGATGCCTGTTTGACAACAAAATAATTAACAAAGTAGATATCAAATTATACCCACCCCATTGTTGACTGTGATAGATTTGAATCGCTTGGACTTCAGACGGACTGGATAAAATATCCACAAGTCCAAGTTCGTCAAAAAAAGCTTCAAGTCCGACCTTGGACTTATCCACCTCTCGCGACATGAATGGATGATTACTTTCATTTCTCTGTCTCACATAGTATATCCAACATAACATAAATAGAAAAGTTTAAAATGAATTTTTTATCAAAAAACTCACATGTTTTTGAAGGCTTCCAGTGTTTTGCGTGATAAGTCCATATGAAATATCTCAACGGTTAAAAGCGCTTTTAGCGAGTAGGTCATACACAAGTGGTAGAGCTCTAAAAACTAAGAGTTTTCTGAAAATAGCAGCTCTTTAGCTGATTCGAGTGCTAAGAAACTACATTGTATGTATCTATCAAAACCACCACTTCTACTATCACTGTATGTCTATTTTCCTATAACTTTCAACTCAAAGTTCTCCTGTATAGCACCTGCAAAACATCTTACCGCACCGTGAAGGAAGAAACAAAATCTGCGAGTCTTATTAAATAACGTTCGCTCAATACAAGAACTTTGAGAAAGACGGTTTGAAAATCTTCTCAGAGAATTGCAAGTGCTTGATGAAAAAAATGCTAAAAGTTGATGTTTATAAAGTCTTTTTTGAAGAATTCAAATACAATATTTACTTTTATGCCTGTAAATTTTTTGTTAGTCATTGAACAGGTTTTTATCTCTATGAAACTATTGAACTCTTTCCTTTCTACATTTATGTGGTTCTCTAGTTATCTATCTAATCGTTGTCAGCAGGTAGAATTAGAAACTTTTATTCGAGTACATCTGGAGTGCCACAAGGTTCTACCCTTGGACCACTTCTTTTCTTCATTTTCATAAACGACCTGCCAGCTGTTACTGTACCACCTGCATCATCCACCTTATTTGCAGATAACTGTTCTTTGTTAAGTCCAGCTTCTGCTCTTTATCCAGTTCCAGTCTGTCAGGAAAATATTGATCGTATAAATGTATGATGTCGTTAAATTACAGTAAATGTTCATGATTACTTTTTTCGCACAGACCTCAAAACAAAGCGTATTCTTTCACCATAGATGGCTCATTAATTAAAAAAGAATCATCAGTGATACTTCTTCGTCTTCGTTTATCTTCAAATTTAGACATGGGTGATTATATTGACGATCTTGTTCTTGTGTGTCGTAGGAGATTAGGAGGCTTATACCGATGTTTTAAGATTGTATCTTCTATTATTCGTCTATCAATATTCAACGCTTACATTTTGAGTAAACTAGACTACTGCTCAATTGTTTACGATACTAAATTTCCCCACCATAATTCGCGTATTGATTCTGTAATTAAATTAGCAGCCAAACTTATACTTAAAAAGTTTGATGGTTCTGTACCTTTGCTGTTGCAAAAACTTAATTTACCTAATTTATATAAAAGAAGAAAATACTTCCGTTTACTTCATTACTACAAAATTTTAAATAATCATTCCATTTTGTCACACATGAATCGAATTCAATTAAACATAAACAGACGATCTGAAAGGTTGATCCATTCTCAAGCTGTACATATTAATGACAATATACGGACGTACACAATAATGTACTCTTTCTTTCATTGTACGGCAACGAAGTGGAATGGGCTACCTGATGAAGTTGTGACTGCACCATCAATTAGGTCATTTAAGCAAAAGCTAAAGGATTTCTTGGAAATATAAATTTACATCTATTTTTTTCTTTCTCTTCTCTACCCCTTAGTTGTTCTTTTATTTGTCCTTTAGGGTGATAGTAATCATAAGGGCTCCTTCGCGCTTTTCTGTCAAATCAAATCAAATCAAATCAATCATTCGGATGTAAAAGCAGAGCTATTTTCCTTCAAAATAAAACAAATCTGACCTCAAAATGTTCGATTTTGGCCAAGCTTGAAAAATTTCCTTAAGTCACCCATTACTTCGACCTGGAATGATGATTTTTAGCAAAAAGAAAATTTGCTTCCAATCGCTTTTGATGACAAATAATTTAAAACCTTACCATACAGTTTTTCGAATGCTTCAAAATGGCTATCTTCTCTTTGTGTATATCGCAAAATGGAAGGAATAAAATAAAAAACTGTTATTTTGACTGGGAAGTACTCAAGATCGCAAATTCACAGTATTTCCTCCATATTCTCTTATTCTTAAGATATATAGAAAAATATTCAATATGTTTTTTGTAAAGAAAATTTTATTATATTTTTGGAGTGAGATATATGCAAACAAAAAAAAATGAGCAACCATTTTTGAACACTCGGTAGAAATACAAGGGAACCGACAATCTCACAACTTTGTATATTGAAGGATTATTTATATGTACTTACTCTGGTTCAGTATAGTAAATTAAAAAGTGTTATTTGTAATAATTCAGCTGGTGATAAATAGAATTGAGACTAACTATAATTTGCTGAATAAAAGAGAATCCACATGATGGTTATTGATACCCGGAAAGAAAATTGATACTTTACTTCTCAACCAAAAGTCAGATAGTAACAATGACAACAACTAGAAACCAACACAAGAATCTCAATTTAACTTAGATGATTTTCTTCTTATTTTTCTGCTTGTAATATTAATAAGTTATATGCAATCAAATTTCTTCATACTTTATCTCATTGACATTCATCATGCAGCAGATGAATAAAATGCGTAATATAGACTTCAAACAGTCTAAAAGATTCAATTTATAGCAAATGCATACACATTATAATATGACTCTATCTTATCAGTGAGTCATTTTTTTGAGTTTAAATTTCTCATTTTTTTTTGTAAGTTTTAAGTTTATTTCTAAATACATAACTCTATATCTACATGAATCTATTTACACAAGCAAAAAGAATATAATATGTTCAATCAGGCTACTGTTGTTCTTTTGCTTTATACATAAAATATGATACATGAAATAGATAATATATATTCACATAATAAAAAAAAAGAAGGAAAAAGAACTAAAAGCAGATGAATATAGCAATTAATACATACAAGAAAATATGCGCACTACAAAAAGAAAATAAATGACTTAATCGTTATGCTCGCAGTGAGAAAAAAAAAAGTCACCAATTCAAAATACTACACGTTAATAAACAAATCACATGAAGAAAATAAACACTAACTACAAGACATGTACAATAATATCAATACAACTACGTTTGTTTACAAGTGAGTTTTTTTTTTAAATGTTCAAATGGGAGATGAGAGATATAGAACAGATTGAGATAGATCTACTTGTTCGAACAAATAATGTAACCATTTAAATGAAATTATTTTAATCCATGACACTGAAATGATAAATAAAATATAAAATTTAATAATTATTGAATTAATTAATACTACAATAAATGGATACTTACCCTTCAAATGCCAAATAATTATAATCCATATTTCCATCTCCATCTCGTTGTTCATTCGCGTTTTTACTAAAAGAAAAATAATCATTAAATAACATTTGTCTTCTTTTACTTTTATTTACCTTTCAGCTCTACATGTTAAAAATAATATGCGTCTCAACTTTCGATTATAGAAGAAAAAATTAAATGACCAAACAATTCCATATTCCGAGAATGGATCCGATGCACCATCTGGACAATAACTGTAGAAAAATAAATAAATGAAAAATAAACTTTAATACTATAATACATATGCAAAGAGATAGATATCATTACCTATACATTTCGCATTCTTTAATATTTATTTCTTCATCAATAACAGACCATAAATGCGACGATAAAGGACTATAACGATCACCCATACCAGATAATAAACGAGAATCAACAGCATTTTTAACCAACTAAAATTAAAGAGTAGAAAATGTAAAATGAAACATCAAAGAACACTACTAAATTTCTTTTGAATAAAACTAAAAAATATACAATTACACGAAAATAAATATTCACTAGAACTCTTATATAACAGTCTGATAATAATACTTACATCAATGTTTGTTTCTCGACTAAATTCATGACTTGTACAAGAGCTGAAGTCATAATCCGGTTCAAAGGAAGCATTTAATGTAGAAATTAAATAAATCAAGGTTTTTCTTGGAATTGTTTTATTTAAAGGTGAATCTTCATCACCACTTGACGAAATTGAATAAACATAGGCAGGCGATGTACTTAATAGCATCGTTTGTGATGGACCCAAAATCTAGAAAAATACAAAAGACAACACATTTATACATTCCTGCATAATATACTGCTAAAGTGTTTTATTTTTCTCTTAAGTTTTACCATCGTTTCGAATAATTGGAAAATAAATTTATAAATAATGTTTAGTAGAGACAAAAACACACGACTCAATTGCTTACTATTAATAGACAATGATGTCCGCTCTTCTTTTTTTTCCACAGACTATGTAAAATTAAACAAGCTTACTTGTAAATCGTGAGGTGTTGTTCCTGGTTCATTTGTTAATTGTTTATAAAGTTTTTTATGATCACCGGCCATTTTACATGAATAACTTTCAAGTCTAAAGAACGAAAAACACACTGTGTTATACATAATTAGAAATAAATTCGAATATCTTACCTAGTCGTGATTTCACAAACAGGTGTATCAACAGATAAAGCTGAACTGATTGCTTCTAGTTTTGAGTTTTCTAATAATTTCATGATTTCGTAGAAGAATAGGAAAATTGTAGCCTTTCTTTTTCAATATGTTTTCTTGTGAGTAATTTGAAGATATTAAATATTTAGCAACTCGAAGAACCACGACTATGTGAAAGCGATGAATAACTAGCTCGTATCGGAATAATTGAATCAAGATAGGTCCTAAACTGATTTTGAAAATTTTGTTTTTGCATTTTGAAAGAAGATGTGGAATTAATTAAAAATAAAGACATAAACGATTTGAGAATAAGGAGAGACGAATTGAAGTTGCAACAGTACACGGCACACCAACTGAGTTCAGTAGACGATTGTTGATTCGGATATGAAGAAATCTGAAACATAGAAAACAGGTAAATATTCGGTCATGAAACAACAATACAACGAAATTTTTCTTAAAATATCTGCAACTACCAATAAATTTGTGCCACTGTGATAAATTTACAAAGCACGACATCTCTTATATTTTTTCATAGCAAGTTAATGCAGAATCTGCAGTAATGATTGAGAGATAAGCATAATAACTAATCCATTTTATTGGACAAGGTGACTTTTTTTCTTTGACAAAAAAGGGATCAAGGTATATAAGAGAAACCTCTGTTCGTTTCTTTTATCTACAATTTCGTTTGTTTGTTTGTTTATGTATTTATTTTTTTGACATGCTTTGTTCACTCACCAGTGGATCTCAAACGAACCAATCAAATGCAAATATTATCTTAGATGAATCTTAACATAATTTTCGTCCTTTGAGATATCCTTGTTAAGGATAGTTTGGATTTAATCTATCTTGTCCTTACTAAATATTGTCATGCTGAAGTTTGTTCAGAAAAGAGGTCAAGTCATAGTCTGCAGCATGCAGCATGGCTAGTCCTTAAAAAATTATAATGTTCCTTTCGGAGAAAAATAAACAAACACAGAATAGGAGTCATCTGTTTACACCTGTTGTGGCTAAAAATAGACTTTTACAATTTCCAGTGAACTGGAAGAGAAAAAGATGACAAACATCGTTTATTATAAATGAAGACCATTCCTGCAGCTGTAGCAAAGTAAAACAGGTACGAAAAACTACATAAGTCAGAAATAGTTCTGTGGATTCTATAAACAGGTTTCTAACACATATCAGTTTATTACTCAAAAAAAAATGGTTTTCCTTGTAGGATATTTGTTTCTAAGAGAGATTTCATTTCATAAAGTTTTAATTTATCAGGACCAGTGTTTCTAATAGCAAAGCGTATTCACTGTATTAAAGCGTACATATGCTTCGGAGTTTAAAAATACGGTGTTTTACGCTTTGTTTTCTAATAGAACTTTTTTCATATTTAAGAGAAAATAAGAAAAACTTTTTTAACTGTGTGTAAGTAAGTGAGTAATCAGATAGGACAAGCGACTTTTTTCTTGTTATACAAGATCAATGATGTTTTTCTCTATTTGTAATTGCCACTGTCTGTAAAGTTGCTTTCTAGAAAAAAATCTGTATAAAGAAAGTTTCTATTTATCTCCTCTAACTTCTGTTGCTTAATTGAGGCGACTTTTTAGATTTGAAACGTGTACGCTTTGAGAAAAAAAAACAGAGCGTATGGATATGTTTTGATTGGAAAAACGCTCAGCGGATAAATTTTGTTAGAAACACTATTAGAACTAGCGTTTCTAATTAGAAGTTTTTGCAGTGTAAAAAGTATACCGTTCCAAACGTAAAAGTAGAAACCTATTTTATAGAAAGTCCAGTGAGAAATACGCCAGCATTTGGAAGGTAGAAATAGGAGAAAGTGCATTCTCATTTCGACAAGACAAGTACAGACACGACGTATACTGATTGAAAAAGTCACAGCTTCTGGATATTTCAGAAGAAAAATAATGTAGCTCTCATTTAACTTCAGTATTTCTAACGAGAATTTTTTGCACAGTGTACTTGTATACTTTGTTTTTTTTCCAAAGTGTAAAACAAAGTGTATGCACACTTTGTCCTTCAGCGTACACTTTGTCATTAAAAACACTGATCAGAACTACAGTTGACATTCTATTGTATATGTATCTTTAGGGAGATATCCTGCCAAAATGGGTATTAATGAAGATGTCCAATTATTTTCTGATTTTGATTCGGGCAATATGGCACGTTATGAACGTGTTCAAATTCAAACAACAACATCAGACTTTTTGACGGATAATATTCAAACGAATGGTGATAATGGACAAAAATTAGCTGAAACAACAACAATAAATACCCATACTTTGCCAAAATATGATTTAGAATTTAATTTATGGACTCGTCGGGATTGTGAAAATAGTTTAAAAGTAAACTCAAATCGATCTTGGTTCTACTTTGGAATCAAAGGTGGACATGGAAAATGTATTCGATTTAACGTGATGAATTTAAATAGACAAGCACGGTTATTTGAAATGGGTAAATATTTGACTTTATCTGGTTTAGTAAGGAGATAAAGCCTGTTGCTACTAACACTATGAAATTAATTAGCTATTTTAAAAAGTCAATTGGTTAGTGATTAATCCAAAACGATTCCAAATTTATCCATTAGTTTCCTTCAAGTAACATTCTGATAAAAAATAAACCCTAGTACATGTGCTTAACGAATGTATTATGTTCTGAATAGCTAGTTGATTATATCAATTTATTTTATTATTTTTTTTGAGGAATGTTGCCTGTTTTCCGCACAGTTCCAGGACATGAAAAATGGTCTCGTTTATATACTCGTCCAATATGGGAAACACAAAATGATGATTTTAAAATGTCGTTTATTCATCGTATTGTTGATATGAAAACATCCGTTACCTATTTTGCCTTTTGTTTTCCATATTCTTACGAAGAAACACAAGAACTGTTGGACATGTACGATACACAGTATGGATCAACGCTGGTCGATAAATATCTACATCCAACAAATCCAAAGTCAACCACGGCAAATTCGGATATCTATTATCATCGAGAAACGTTGTGTTATTCAATAGATGGAAATAAAATTGATTTATTAACAATAACATCGTATAAAGGTAACAATTTTATACATTTACAATAATTGACAACGTTGATAATATGCTCCATTGTAGGTATACAGCATGAACGTGAACATCATTTTGACAAAAAATTGTTTCCTCAAATTCATCAAAGATTACGTCCACATCAATTTAAAAACAAACGTATATTCTTTTTATCTAGTCGTGTACACCCAGGTATGATGTAGAGACGAATAAAAACTTTCCAAACAGTACTTACCCGCTTTCTCTCTATTTTAGGTGAAACTCCAGCCTCATTTGTATTCTTGGGATTTTTAGAATTTATTCTTAAACAAGATGATTTAAGAGCAAAATTATTACGTGATTTGTATATATTCAAATTGATACCAATTCTTAATCCAGACGGGGTTAAACGTGGTCATTATAGAACAGATCAATTAGGACAAAATTTAAACAGAATGTATTTAGGCATGTGTTCGAGTGATCAATGCAATTAGAATTGCAGTTATTTTATAAGATAATGAAATCACGAAGATTTGTTGTTTTAGACCCTGATTTTGACAAACATCCTAGTATTTATGCCTCGAAAAGTTTACTGATCTATCATCATATTAATAATCAAATTGAGCATAATAATTCAAATTCAGCCTCTAAACTAACAGTTTATGATGTATTTCAAAATGTGATGCCTCATGAAGAGATGAAACGACGAAAAGAAGAAGTAATAATAACTATGATGACTGCTCAATTATCGACACCGTCAATGAATCGTCAGATATCAATAGAATCAATAGGAAGTATTCCAGAGGTTAGTGAAAAACCAACATCACCAGTGGTTCGAACACCTCAGCAACGTTATACTAAACTAAAATCATCTGTAACAGATGGTATTGAATATTTACAAACAGCTACAACAGCCATGGGTTATGAACAAACAAATGAATGGAAAACGCTAGGTCAGGTGAGAGGGAGACATACTTTATTTATTAGCATGAACTGGTCTTTTGATTTTAATACTTTCATGCTGTTGCAGTATTTTTCAGAAGATCTAGTAACTTGCCTATGAATCTACAGGTTAATCCAAGGAGACGAAGTTGGGCAGAATCGAGCAGAGTTTATTGGAGTTAGATTGTGTATTTGAGCCAGAGATGTCAACTGTTTCCCATTCCAACTCGAACGACAGTTTCTCATTTTGAGTTTTATCCCATCTAGGGTTGGCAGTATTACTGTTACTCATGTATTACATTACCGAGGAAAGTAATGCTGTAAGGTATTCCTGTTACTGGTAACAGTAATCTTCCATGTATTCCTATTCCCAGTAACAGTAATACTGTAAGTATTACTGTTACTAGTAATAGGAATATATACAATATTTGTATTACTGGTAACAGTAAAAGTAATGTGCCCCTAATCTTATCCGAAAATGCACCCCTGGAAGTATCAATCATCTAGGAAATTGTTTTTTTACAGATGAAAATTAATAAAGTTTTTTCAGATTATTCTCTCTAAATAGGCGTTACATCAAGTTTTCATCAATATTTTTTTTATAACTAATTCAGTACTTACATAGTGAAAATGGGATCTACTATGTATCCTTTATTTTTCCGTAAAATGTCCCTTGCATTTCCCTCATTTCCCTGTTCCTCATTGGGAATTTTATGATTATCAGACCGAGTGTGACCCAAACAGTTCACGTGCACAATCTGACTTCGGAGTTGTGCGGCTTTGGTCCCCTCATGTTTTGGATTTAAGTTTTAACTTTGAATCAGAACGAAATCGAGAATATAAATTCTCACTTCCTATTCTGAAACTTAAATTATCAAAACATAAAATAAATTCTTGCAAGAAGCTAGGATCGAACACACGAACTTGATCTTTGCATACGAACTGCAAAAATCAGCTTTGCTGCTCTTTCCTATATTCACTTCTGTTTTTAAAATAAGTTATTTCTGGTTTGTAACGTTTCCACTAACAAACACTTCTCCACCAGTAAAGATGTGAAAGTTGTTCATTTCAAACTACAGTATAATTTTTACATGCGATGTTTTCAAATAAAACTTCTCTACGATTAAAGGAAATTTTAGTTTCTTGATAATAACTTATAATCAAATAATGAACGGTTACTCCCGTTTTAGAAGAATTAAGCATGAACATGATTAAAGAGGTGTTTAATGCTACTTTAACATCCAACAGAATCTTGCTGCTGTTTATTACTTTATTCATTACTGATCGCTGGTCCGCTCATATAAAATACTTTCCGTCTGTTTAATTCGGGCAAACAGCATCTGCCAACGTATGAAAAACGATTGATAGTTGAGTTTTGTGGTTCTCAGTAATTATAAAAAAGTCATAAAGGTGGCTATTTATAATTTTTAGCCTCTAATAGCAACAAATCGTTCGAAATCAAAAACCTCTCATTTTCGTAAAGAAATTATATACAATCATGACGTATTGGATACGACAACATCGACAGCTAGTGACATAATGGCAAGAAGTCCCAGAAAAAATTCGGATCGAGTCACTCATGATATGCCATTTTTCTTACAAAAAAAACAAGAGTTAGAAATTATGAATCAGATTGATTCAACAGATATTGATGCACAAAATTTTTTTCTTGATCGAAGAGAAACACACATTCATATCAAAGAAAATACTGATGAAGTTAACAAATCGGCACCATATTCATTCCATTTTACTAACGAAAATTTAGAATTTCATCAGGATATGTATCGAAATTTAACGGTGGAAGATGAAGAGTGTTATCATATTGGTAAGTTAGATATAAGAAAATTAGTCACGTTTGCTTACTAATGTCTACCATCTTATTTGAAGGATTTTTGTCACTTGTGTACAGTATTTTGTATTATTTAGGCAATGAAGGATCGGACGATGAGGATGAGTATCTAACTGCTAGTGAACAAAAACATGATTCAGTTCCTACTACAACGGTTATTGAAGCAAAATCTCCACATTTATCGAATGTTGATTTATTAAAAATTAGTCCATACGAAAGTGGTATACGTTATTACATTGATTTACATGGTCATGCAAGTAAAAAAGGATGTTTTGTCTATGGAAATTATCTGCAAGACGACGATATGCATACCGATAATCTTTTATTTGCAAAATTAATTTCTCTAAATTCACCACATTTTGACTATGATAATTGTAATTTTACAATAAAAAATATGTATATGAGAGATAAACGAGAAGGATTGTCAAAAGAAGGAAGTGGAAGAGTGGCACTTTATAAACATCTTGGTATGCATTTATCAACACAAATGTATGATCAAATCTTATTAAATCGATGTCATCTCTTTTTAGGTATACTTCATTCATATACATTGGAATGTTCTTATGCTGTTGGTAAAACGTGTCAATCGCTTCCTGCTGCTGAAAATGAACATTTTGGAGGTCGTGTATCACCAGCATATCCGTACGTAACTAGATTAGATTTATTAACATTTGTTGATAATTAACAAGATTATGTATTTAGATATTCCTTGCCGCAAAAACTCACGCAAGAACATTATAAAGATGTTGGAAAAGCCTGTGCCTTGGCTGCACTCGACATACTACCAGGGCAGAATCCATTTACACGTGTCACACAATCAACATTTCGTACACTACAAGCACTCAAAGATTATCTTAAACATCAAGTAAGAATACAACGAAATAGAACAAATCGAACATCAGTAGCACCACCACCAACAAATTCTAATGTGACAAATAGTAAAGGGAAACAACAGCTTCATTATGCGTCAAAAATCCATAATTATAATAATAAACCAACAAATTTGAATAATAATACACAGTAAGTATTGAGAATAAAACGTAAAATACTGCAATTAATTCATGAGGGAACCACTCGAGGTGATAAAACGCTTTTTGCTCGGAATCTAGTGGGTTATAGATTATCGATCATGCTAATTACCCATATGATCATGGGAGTGGCCCTTAGCCCTTCAAAGACCCAGTCTTCTAGAAAACCAGTTTTTCAGAAACTCTAAAATATAACCAAAACCTTTCTTAACGAGGCATGATTGTAGCCCGCAAATTTCTGATTGAAATGAGACATCCCCCAGCTTTAGGCAACCTTTTGCAAGGTTATAGAATTTATAAAGAACAGAAATTTAACGAAAATACACTAGGAGTTTTTTCATTTTTCTCCTATAAAATATTGACAATAGCTAGAAAGTACTGGTCCATTCTCCTGAGATTAGATCATGCATGATCTAATTTTAAAATTCGAACTGTTACAGAAAATAAGACAGATAAATTTATCGGTCTTAAAATAAGATACTATAAATCGGTTGACGATTAGTTGCATACATGGGTCTTAAATTAAGATGCTTCTATCCGTCTTATTTTAAGACCCATGTATGCAACTAATCATCAATCGACTTATGGTGTCTTATTTTAAGAAGCATTTCTTTTAGAATTTTTTTAGAAAATCGACTAATGGACGTTTTTTTTCCGAGAACTAGATCATCTGAAAAGATTTAAGCTATTGTAGAGTGTTTTAGAATTTGCTGGCAGATAATTACACTTAAATAATTTAAAGAGACTCAAAGACTAAACTCAACCCGACACACTCATTTGGGTTTATTAACAACTTTTCGAAACTCAAAATAGGTTGATGATTGACGCTCTCGAACTCAAACAAAGATGCATGCCAGTAACAAATCAATAAACCAAAGTTTTCCGAAACCTTTAAGGGTTATTTAATCAATCCAGAAGTTTATTTCTAAATCCAAAGGTCGATTAAACAATTCTCAAACGTTTCGGGATGGGTTTCGGAAACCTTTGGTTCATTGATTTGTAACTGTCATGCATCTTTTTTTGAGTTCGAGAGCGTCAATCATCAACTCGTTTTGAGTTCGGGAAAGTTGTTAATAAACCCAAATGGGTTTTTTAGGTTGAGTTTTTCCATTCCCGAGCGCATTTAATGAGTTTATTAATCAAACCTCTTTTTTTAGAAAGTATGGAGTTCATTTTTTATCATTTACATTAAACTAGTCGTCTTTTCATAGATATTACACATTTTTTATCAAGACAACTTTGAAAAGCGCGTTACCAAATCTTGTTTTTTAATCTGAACGTTTGTGATTTTCAAAGTTCAAAAGCATTTTACCTTATAAACTTCTTATCGACACATACCCATCAATCGATATTGTGCTGCATATCACCCTGGATCGAAAAATTCTAAAAGATTCCTCGACCAAAACTGACTGTAGATTCATCTTCTCCATAATCAGTTATTTGATACGCGATAACTTTTGGATCCGGGTACTTCAGAAAAAATTTTCGACATTATTTTGCCTTTGATGTTATTTTTATCAAGACCATGAGAAACTCTTTTTTCTGAAATACCTTGATCCACAAGTTATTGCGTACCTAATAATTAACTGCGGCGAAGACGAATCTGCAGTCGGTTTTGATCGAACAAGCTAAGAAAGTTTATCGATACGTTGATATAAATAGTTCAGTCATCGATTGGTATCAGTGCTTATAGAGATCTTTGGTGTTGTCTCACTTGAATTACAAGAGTTCTAATTTCTCTCTCACATTTTTAGATCCACAACACCTACTAGTCCCTCTTTACCGAGCCAAACGATGTGTGCTCCATCGTCGACTTCGATGACTAAAGCAGCCAATCGATTTATTTCTTCGAATCTAAAATTTCGTTCAAATAGTAGACGAAATATTAACAATAAACAAAATTATCCCGCTCAAATTGAATCTAATCCATCTGATACCTTTCCACAGTCATTATCACGTTTAGAAATTTCTTCTCGTACACCATCATCCTTAAAATTAGTTCATTCATCATCTGCTCGACTTCGAGAACAACAGTTAAATCAAATGAAATTTAATCAAACAATACCGATTTCCATTATTGATCCTGTTCTTATCTCTAGACACAATCTACTTAGATTTGCAGCAAATAAATTACCAATGCCAAAAAAAATTCAAAGGGAAGAATTTAATTTAAGTTCATTACCAGTTAGTCCATTAGATATTCACTATTGTCATACTCGTATGGGTCAATCAGCTCCACAAAATTTAATCAAGCGTACCTTAGCACATACTCTAAAACAACAGCCACAGGAACATCATCAACTACCGTTACCTACTGATCATCTTGTTCCAATGAAAGCCACATTTCTGACGTATAAACAAGACAACATCCAAAATTCACCAAGGGCTTTATTTGAATAATATTTTTCTCTGTATGTATGTGTGTGAGTGTTTATGTCTGACGATATTTTTTTACTAATTTATTTTTGCGTGAATCTCACATGTGAAATGTTTTTATTATCTTTTATACTTTCATTTAGTAAATAGACAAAGTATGAACGAAGTAAACTTAATAATTTTTATGTATATATGTAACACAGACTCAAAAGAAAGGCGAATAAAACAATGTTAAATTTATTTAAGTCGTTACAAAATAATCGAATGTAAAAAAAATTCTGCATTTTATTTCCTTTAAACTAGTAAGAATGAAAGCAAAATAGTAAAAGATATCCAACATAAAGTTGGGATGTGGATAAATTTTGTTGTAAATAGGATGAAACCAACAGTTTAAGTATTCCAAAACTTTCAATCATAAATATACTTTTCACATATACATAAATTCTTTCTAATTAACAATGATTTGTTTTTGAAAGAGCGTAAATACGGCTAATCGTATATATCCAAATCAAAAAAATATATTTCAATTTACAATACAGAAAATATGAAAAAGGAAAGAAAACTTCAGTTTTTTCTCGATGGTAGTTGTCCCAAATGTGATATCTTATTTTTATTATTTCCATCAGCACAATATGGCTTTTGATTTTCTTCTTGTCGTTTTTGGTAATTTTTATGGTCCAAGTAATGTGGAGCATCAAACATATGACCAGTTGATCGTTTACTTTCTTTATCCACCGTGACACATGTTACTGGAGTGCACATTGCATTCCACCAATCTGGTGTTGGATATCCAACAGGTTCTTTTGACTTTTTCAGTGCTGGATCACGGTGAACGAGTAGATCAAGCCTACTACGTAATTTAGGCATATGGATGTAGTCCGGATCGGTATCTTCGACATAAATTGATTTTGGGCTATTTATATCGAAATCGTTATCCATCACACCGTTTAAGTAAGGGATTTGCGAGGGTGGAGGAACAGTGACAATTTCACGTTTTTCCTTTTTTAACGGGGCATGTATATGCCAAAGTTCATCTTCAAGTCTGCGACGTGAATAGATCATGGCGTTAGTTTATCTAAAAGCAATAAGTACATAGGGCGATCCAAAAGTTCTCGGAACTGTTAAAACATTATCCAAGGAAAATAGATTCGATTCATCAATCTACCACAAACGTTGGAGGTCATCAACTCGATGTTCAATACAAATTTGCATCCTCTAGATCCGCTTTTGAAACGTCTTTTTTATATTCATGACAAGTATCGAATTCAGTACCTTGGTTATTGAGGCAGTTCAAATTTTTTGTTTAATATTAAAACTTAGAAGTTTGAAAGTGGTGTATAGCTATTATATGATATAATCACTAGCGATGAGATGCACATGTACGATCGCATGACTGAATCAAAACCATGGTTAACAGGAAAGGGAAAGCCCTCCAACTATCGTTAAAAGGTAACAATACGAAAAGCATCAACGTTGATCTTATTTATGGCAACTGGTCCACTTATTCATCGAATACAATCGGAGGGTATCTGTTAATACTATTGATTATTTTAATGAATGTTTAACACCACTAATTAAGAAATTATCAAAAAAAACATCAACATGAGGAACGAATGTTGTCAGATTCCATTATGACATACACAACTACATGTAAAAAACATTGTTATTAACTATCGTAAAGAAGGAAAACAAGACATGTAACTCATCTGACGTATTCAACCCACCTTACTCTTCCGACGTATGGCTTCTCAGTTACCCTAGAGATAGACTAGATAAATATACAGATACAAAAAGTTTGAGTAAAGTAATAACCAAGGTACTGAACTCGATACTTGTCATGAATATAAAAAAGACGTTTCAAAAGCGGATCTGGAGGATGCAAATTTGTATTGAACATCGAGTTGATGACCTCCAACGTTTGTGGTAGATTGATGAATCGAATCTATTTTCCTTGGATAATGTTTTAACAGTTCCAAGAACTTTTGGATCGTCCTATGTATTACTCACTAACAGGAGTTATTAAACAATTCTTTAAGTCCTAGTCGACGTGCATGCAAAAAATCTCGGGTGTTTCCCGATATTTTTGAAATTTCTATGAATTTTAATTAAGTTTGTACTCGCAAGTCGCACATTCAGAAGTATGAACGTTATAGTGACTTTCTGATATTGTATCATCATTCACTAAAATTTTCCAAAATCTTTTAAAAAGAATGTGGCTGATTGTAAACAAAATGGCGAATACATTCATGAAATCGAGAAACCGGCCTAATTTTTTTTCTAGAATCCCCTTCAGGAGTTCTAAAACCGTGATTCTTTTCGAAAACAAGATTTTGCGTTTATTTAGCATGATACCCACAGAAAAAATGGAGAAATCTCCTGAAAACAGGAATCCCGAAGAAAGCTAACGCGAATCACGCAAGAACCCCAAGAGGTACCCAGGAAAGGGTATCTTTTGGCAATCACAATTGTCTATTATTAATTGTAAAACTCAGGGTTTGCGAAACAGCAGCATTTTTATGCACGTATAAAGTCAAATAACAAGGTAATTTTTATCATATGTCCTTTTTTTCATAAGTTATTTCGATCCACCGTGAACGAAAGATAGACTATTTTTGTGTTGATTGTCACAGTATACAGGTTCTCTTCTTTCAATATCATTAATTACATTGAAGAGTATCTCAACTAACGAGTAATGAAGAGAAATTGATTGGAGACTACTACTTCTGGTCCTAACGTTAGTTGTCTTGTTTATTCTGTTCTTTTTTTACTCTTTTAATATTGCTTGGCTTGAGTCATTGTTATTACAGGTCGGTGACCTTTGATGGTTCACACTTTTCCTGAATAAAACAGTCTTAGTCTTAGGAGAGCAACGTTTACGTGTCAGCACAAAGACCTATTTGCTCTTCTACTTTGACGGGGATTAAATGTATGTTTACCAGATGTATAACAGATCCAACAGGTTCTTACCGTTATCATTCAACTTACAAATTTCTGTGTCAATTATTGTATTGTTTTTGCCCAGTTCTAGATAGATTCACTTAATAAAATAGGTTAGAATAAGTTCTGCTGATGATATTTTAAATATCTTTTACCGTACAACTGATTAATTCATCGTACAATTTAAATACACTCTGGAATCATGATGTGAAAATGTTATTTAATTTAATAACAATGCAATATTCTTTAGATTCTTTTTGCTTTACGCCGTTATATTAAAGTTCTGCTAAATATTCAGCATTTTTCGACTAAATACCCCCAAGGCAGAGTAATTCTGAATAACGATCAAAACAAAGAAGATTGAAAATACATCTAAAAATTTTAACATAATCCAATTCGTTTTGATTATTCACGAATTTTCGCTATGTGCTTACTTATACATGATCGTCAGAAAATAAAATGACAATAAAAGAAAGAAACAATGTTAGACGTCCGTAAAAACAGCTGTCTTCTATTATCAGCTGTTATATACTGTAGTAAATGTGACTAGTGAAAATATAAAGCAAGAACGGATATGTTAGTGTATGTTCGTCGGACATTGTTCAGACCAGAAGAAACATGTCTGCCAATCAACTCTCTTGAATAATTCGTTCTCTCCAATCAGTTAAGCATACATCGAAAACTCAAAAAAGAATAAAAATAAACTGGATTTTGTTTAAATTATCCAAACATGTTACGATTGACGCATGCGATTTAAATCATCATCATCATTCGTTAGCATTAATTGAATCAAATGTTCAACTCCTTTTCAAATTAAAAGAACTGGAATATACAACAACATTGTATATTGAATTCGACTATAAATCAGCTTTTGTGAAACAAATATTTTCTAGCTAGTTGCCATCAAAAAATATACTGATAAATTTCGACGAGCTTATAGTCAAATCGCTAAGATATTTTTTTGTGGTAGTAATTACAGAGATTTGATTTGTAATTTATACATTTCTTATATCTAACTTTTTTGTCCAGCCGATTCTTGAATTTTTTCTCCATTGTTTATTACCATGCATTTCAAGTTCAACATCTAAACAATCCCGCCCACAGCTTTCAGAGATTTACGATTTCCTCAGAAACAAGCATTGACTTTCATTCACGTTTGGTCGCTTAATCAAAAAAATCATTAGCTTTACTGTGGACCGTCACGCAAACGAGTGGAAGAGAATGGAATTCATGAGAAATAGATGGGGTAGCATAACATCAGCTGTTATGAGCTGAACTATTCATCAATTGGCTGAAAATAAGACATTTTTCGGATACTGAAGCCTTTATTTGTAGAAGCAAAATCATAGGTCTCACTCAGCATCACGAATATTTTGATGTACATACGTACTAAGAATTCTACCTTAGTTTTTAGTTATAAGTCCTGTAGGTTTTTAATTTTTTCTGAAGAAAATTGTTGATTCGAGGAGAATAAGATTTAACCTAAGCTCCAATCACCTTTCTTCTTAGTCGTCACCTTCCTTTTGTAGTTTGATTTGAACCCGAGAAATTCGATGTACCCAGACAGAAATAAGCTTGTATCTAGAAACAGTTCTAGAGAACTTCTTTGAAAGAATTAACTTCTAACGTGTGACTGTATATTTTACTGAGTTCTTCTTTAATTTATACATTATTTTCAACCATTTTCACATCCGACCGAACCGAAAAGCGTGTAGATCGTAATCAAACCTTTCTGTTGACATTGATCAAATTTGAGTGTCGGTAGTTGGATGAACAATAGCTGCGAACCAATGACAAGCAAAACGACGACCAGGTTTTCAGAGGTTTTTTTAATGTCGTCATGTTTTCCGTGGGATTGAACAGTTACAGGGCCTACATTTTAGTGTTAATTGTTACTGTCTTTGTATCTAAATTTTTACGACGTTCGTTTTAGATTGATGTGACAGACTAAAAGAGAATGCCTCGTATTCCATTAGTCAGTAATAAAACATATTCGACGCCTCGTCGTCCGTATGAAAAAGAACGTTTAGATCAAGAATTAGAATTAATTGGAAAATTTGGTTTACGTAATAAACGCGAAGTATGGAGAGTTCGTTATACACTAGCAAAAATACGTAAAGCAGCTCGTGAACTACTTACGCTTGATGAAAAAGATCCAAAAAGGTTATTTGAAGGTACAAATGGAAAAGTCTACTTATGCTGACTAAATTTAACGCTTTACTGTTTTTTTTCCTTTTTTAGGCAATGCCCTTTTACGTCGTTTAGTTCGTATTGGTGTATTGGATGAAACAAAAATGAAACTCGATTACGTGTTAGGTCTCAAAGTTGAGGATTTCTTAGAGCGTCGCTTACAAACACAATTGTTACGTTTAGCATTGGCAAAAAGTATTCATCATGCGCGTGTACTGATTCGTCAGCGTCATATACGGTATGTAAAATGACTCGAATAAGAAACAAAAAACGATGGAAGTTTACTTTCATCTTGTTTATTTTTTAGTGTACGTAAACAAGTTGTTAATATACCATCATTTATTGTTCGTTTGGATTCACAAAAACATATCGATTTTGCTTTACGGTCTCCATTGTCTAGTGGCGGCCGTCCAGGTAAACAAAAATTGTTATATTCTTAGCGTACAAAAAAGATGACTAGCGTATGATAAGGAATCAATTCAATAAGAACAGGATCCTCAAAATTTTATGTCTGTATTAAAAATAAAAGATTATACCATCATATTGTTTTTTCCTTTTTAGGTCGTGTGAAACGAAAAAACATGAAAAAAGGTGAAAAAGGTGCAAAAGCAGAAGATGAAGAAGAAGAAGATTAAACCACAAAGGAAAAAGACAAGACCATTTAATTATTCTGGAATGTGCGTGTTTTTCCAACTTTTGTGTTATTTGCAACAAGCACGAAAAAATCCAGATTATTGTTTTTGATTTTGTTATTTATTAAAAAAGAATAAATAAAAAAACACACTCGTGCACGCATACAGACAGAAAAGATCAGAAAGAAATAATTTCTTTGTCACAAACAACGAACTTGGACACGCTGATTGTTTTTTTGCCTTAGATAGAGTTTAAATAGATTGTTTAAATAGTACCTATTCTTTTCTGTCCGCTTACACTTAGTTCAATTTGAAATACTGCATAAGACGCGGAGCTTATCGAATTCAGTTGACACTTATAGCAAATTATTCAACAAGCTTTTCATCGTTTTTTAGTTGATAGTTTTTGTAATTCATATGAAAGTTATCTCGAACTTGATTGCGGGTTTAATCCTTCACATTTAGCTCTTTACGCTCAAAATAGTTTTACCATTTCACATACCTCCGCGCACAAATGGCGATATTTTCTACCTTACTCTAGATCGAAACCATGAGTAAGCGTAAATTCTTTGGCTTTTTTTGCTAATTTTAATGAAGACATAATGTGTAACGTATTTCATCTCCAGTACATCCTTGTATAACTTGATATTTAAATGTCTGTTTGTCTGATGTTAACGCAAACCTACGACACTTGGTTGATTAATGCCAATTGATGCGGTTAACACTACATCTGACTTATAAACAAAAACATTTATTCTTAATATTCTTTCGTGATAGAGTCTTCGTTGCTTTATTGTTTCAGATAGAAACGCAAGATATAATCTTGATTACAAAAAAATGCCACATTTGTGAGAATGTGATCCAAATTAGTTTCTAAAAAATGATGAAAATTTGATAATTTCTTTCAGATTATTAAACAATTAATGATGAAGATGTGAGTAATACACATGGCCAGAATTGATAATCGTGGGATAGAACGTTACGGATATTTTATAATAAAGATCTCAGTCAAACCAATATCAACGCGAAGATATTGAAACAATGAATATTCAAAAAACATAGTTATGAAATGATAGACTAGAAGAAATTAGATAATTTGAATCGACAATAATTCTATCAACTGATATCTGAAGAAAATTCTGATCAAAAAATTTTGGAAATATTTCTGATCATATGGCCATTGCCCCGTGTGACCGAAGAAGTCAATCATCGATTAAGCATATTAAGCCGTATGTCCTATGTAATAGCCCTTAACCAATATAAAAATTTATGTCAGTTGAGTAAACATGAAATTGCTCACATGAAACCGAATTTACCGAAATTATATAACATACTGAATGAAAGAAAAAAATTACAACGAGTACAACATTAACAAATAGCAATAGTAAAACGAAAACATTGGATAACAACTTAGTACTCCATTTTATGAAAAGTGCTTAGACTACAACGACCATTCCATATGCAAAATTTTGTTGATGAGTCGCTGCTGTCTGTATTTGTTTTAGCCATATTCGATGTAAACTAGTTCCACAGCATGAGCGAGTGCCCTACAAAAAAATCTCTAGTGCGCCTGGTATGCCATCGGTCACTGGCACCGATGCGCACCCGTACCAGGTAGTGCCGATATATTTATATAAAAAAAGTGCCGCATTGAAACTTATTTAGTCAGTTCTCTATTATGGTTACATTTCCTTAATTTTGCATTAATTAAAGTACAGCACGGATATGTACCAGTACTACACTGGCATGTCGTAAGCGTGCGATGCTGCCTTAGCACTTCTCTTATGAGACGGAAGAAATGAAATCAAAACGATATTCGAAACATCACAAGTACACTGTGGTGTTTATATAGACGAACGTCGACAAAACAAAATGGTGATTGAAAAAAAATTTGGCACTGGTGCGCAGGAGTGCCGGCCGATAAAGTAAGAAAATTTCTTATGACATAACGGCACCGGTGCCCACCTCTGAAAAAGTATCAATCCGCACAGATGCGCATTAGTGCGAAACTTGAAAATCTTTTCTAGCGCACACTGGTACCGCATAAGTGCCAGTAAAAATTTCTTTTCCAGAGTGGTTTGAAAATAGTTTAGAAGAAAAAACAACAACAATATATAAACAAAAACTTGATGTCTTCAGTAGAAACTATGTCAAAAAGGATTTTAGTACATTGGACAAAACGCATCACTCAGCAGTGATAGAGAAAAACCTTTCTTAGATATGGCATCTTTAAACTCAACGATGACAGGAATTGAACCTGCTTGAAACATACACGGTATTGGGGTCAAAATGATATTAACAAAAACGTTGAAAAACATTGTGATTTCGTTGTTAGTGAAATTTTTTAGTTTCTGTAAGTGTTTTATATCATTCAGTTTTAATTTATTTCTACTTTTTATCTGTTTTTTTCAGTGGTACCATATGTTAGTATTAATTTTACGAGTATATAACAAAACAATACTTTCTCAAATGAACGAAGTAATTAATATCGTGAATGGTTTAATTGCCCTTGTTTGTTTATTATTTTATTGATCAATAACATATTCTTATCAAATAATCTCAGAAACGATCAGTCTTTAATAAATCATAGTATTTATACAATGTAACAGTACCTGATATTCACCATTTTTATTCGAAGATCGGCGAAAATCGTTTTTCCTCTGCTGACACCTGAGAAGTAAATAATATTGAAAAGTCATGGATAACAGACACAATTCCATTACTCAATCATTTGTTCGATCTTGTTTTATATATTGAATGTTAAAGAGAATTATTGAAGGCTGCAACTGGAAATACAATTTTATGGATTGGAATCCACAATACACTCGATCGAACGTGATATCGCTCTAATGTAAACAACTTTAACGGCATACACGTTAACAATCTTCGTAAGAAATCGTCTTAATTAATAATCCTGATAACGGATGATTCATCACTTTGAATGCTTAGTCATGTTTTTCCATGTTATATAGTTATTCTTACTACAGAATTTTGTCGAAAGTTCAGATTAGCCATGCAGAGGCTCTTTGAGAAAGCAGTTTTAAAAATCGGAGAAATTTTTTAATTGTTTCTAGTCGACAGTTTTTTTACACAAATGTTTACTCTACAAAATAAGACTTCACAGACTTTCTCAAGATGGTTCATCGATGCGATACAAAGTTTTTACTTGAAAAATGGACCGGTTATAACCGATCCTGTTATTAAAACAAAAAATACCTACTGGTACCATACATGTACTACTTCACTGCATATAAAATTGTTGTTTTATTTCTTTTTCTAAGAAAAATGTACGTGACTTTAATTTTGTTTTAGATAATTTTTTTTTGTTTATATGTCGTCTTCGTCCTCGTTATCAGTAAATGGTACTGAAAATAAAGAAAATCAACAATTTGATCCACATTCAATGACAAACGGTTTTACTGAAGCAAATTGTTCATGTTGTGATCATCATGAAAATTCACTTCATTCTCATTCTATTTCACAATCACCACAAAATGAAAATAATATTGAAGAAGAACAAGAATTAATTTCACGTTTACAACATTTTACGTTGGATACAATTAATGAAAATTGTGATCAAGATATTTATTTTCATTCATATAAATCTGAAGAACAAATGCTTTCTATAATGAAATTAATCAGTGGTGTACTATCTGAACCTTATTCTATTTATACTTATCGATATTTTATTCACAATTGGCCAGAATTATGTTTTCTATGTTCAAAAAAATCAGAAGTAAACTTTTTCTAAGCATCTATCTTACTATATATTTTATAACAACAAAAAATTTGTCATTTTTTTAGAATTCTAATAATCCATCATCTACTCAAGATGATAATGAAAATGAATTAATTGGATCTATTGTTTGTAAATTAGATTTGCATAAGAAAATTTTACGTCGTGGCTATATAGCCATGTTAGCCGTTAATAATGAATATCGTCGTAAAAAAATAGCATCAAAACTCGTCTGTATGGCTATACAAACAATGATGGAACGAGGATGTGATGAAATTGTTTTGGAAGCAGAAGTAACAAATCAAGCAGCATTAAACTTATATGAAAATTTAGGTTTTTTAAGAGAAAAAAGATTATATAGATACTATTTAAATGGTGTTGATGCTTATAGATTAAAATTATGGCTCAAATAAAACAAAAAAAAAACAAAACATTAATTTTGTGTTTGTGTGTTTTTAAATTTTTTATTTTGGTTATTTACTTTGAAAATAAACTATTATGTAAACAAATGAAAAAATCTTTGTTAAATAGTGTAATATGAATCATTATATTACGATTCACCTACTTTTGTGAATCTTGTAAAATCAATTGAAATATCATTTAGTATTTTTTTATTTTGTATAGAGAAAAGAAAAACAACAACAATAGAAAAAAAACAAAAAAAATAACTAAAAACATATATTCTTTCACACTAATACACTTAATGCTTGCCTTGAACAAAGAGGACATTGTTCTGATATAGTCGATGTTGGTGTTAAATTACGTTCCTGATTTAAATTATTATTATTATTATTATTATTATTATTATTATTTAAACAACACGTCCTATTATGATGATTATGATGTAAATATTCGCCTAGAGCACATGTTGAAGTTCGAGGATGGTGCCGATGAATACCTCCCGATGATGATGAAGCGCCAGAAGATGACGAAGATGGTGATAAATGGCGGCCTAACATAGCAGCTGAATAATCGTCATTAATTTCTTGATAAATATGATAATTCCCACCGGGACAGTTGCCTAAACCACCGCTACCTAGAAGAGAAAAAAACAAGAGCCTAATATCGATATGTTTAGGATTAAAAATTAATTATTTTCTTACCTGAACTAGTATAACTTGGATGTACATAGGATGAACATGTGCAATGTGTTGATAGACTACTAAATTGTTGTGGTGTTTGATAACTCAATGGTCTATGATGATGATTCCATGTACCACACGTTGATGAGAGTGTTGGTCGTACAAGTAATGTTTCACTTTTTGTATCTTGATGTGAAGCGTGAGATGAATTACGACGATGTAGTAAATTTGAACAACGTGTTAGTAATAAAACAACTAATGTTATGAGAATAAGAACAAATAAAATACCGAATATTGAACCGAGCAATATACTTCGAGTCGGTTCAGTTAAATACCAAGTTGACGATAATGGTCGACTACTTTTGAGAGGAATAAATGAATCTAAAATGAGAGAAAAAAAGACTATGTATATTTTACTATCAATATTAAATAATAGAAATGTTACCTTGTTGTCTTTCCGAGTGAATAAGTGGAGATGATGGTGGTGTTTCATGTTGAACATTATCATTAATCATTTTTCTTGATTGTTGTTTAATCTGTTTACAATGTTTCTCATAACTTGTTTGTTTCAATAAAATAACACATAGTTCATATTGTTGATCATTGTTTAATTGATAATCGTAAAATGTATAATTTCGTAATAATGGTGAAAGAAGTTCACTTAGTCTATAGTTTTGAGATGATTTTTCTAGGCTAATACTGACTTTAAAACCTTGAATACCTTGACGTTTTAAATAGGAAAATAAATAATCGCGTTGTTCTACTAATAAATCATTTAAAAATGCAGGTAGAAGTTGCCATTGAACAAATATAGAATGTAATGATAAATCAGGTATAATGTTTAATTCATTAATACGAATTGGAAGAAGTTCATCGTCTGGAATTATAACGGAGGCGGTCGGTGATACTATAGGACTATTTATAGATAAAAGTGTACTTGTCAATGTTGATGTTGTAGTAGAGATAGTAGTAGATGGCATAATTTGTTGCCGTGCATCACTAAAATTTAAAATAAAAAAAGTAATGTGAGAAAAATTTCTCATTTTTTTTTTCTCTATTTACGGTAGTTCAACATTTTTGTTATCTGTGATGGTGAGTAGTGTTTTATCGATCTCAGGAATTTTTATCTTCTTTGTTGTTGTTGTTGTTGTCTGTTCTTCTTCATCTTCTACATCTGACTCTTTTCCAATATCTTGTTCATTCAAATATTGACATTGTGAAGTTGTTTGATCTGGTGTCAAACATATTAATTCTTTATTATTTAAATCAATTAAATTAATACTTTGTTTTGATGGTGGTGATTCACATTTTCCCGTTGATTCTTTAAATTTATTTGCTGTTCTAAACCATTTTCCAATATTTTTCATTCGACAATCACAATGAAGAGGATTTTGATCTAATTCAATTGTTGCCAATTGAGTATAATATTTTAATGTTGAATAATTCAATGTACATAGACGATTACGACGTAATAATAATGTTTGTAATGTATCATTTAAAGTAATCAAGAGTGGAATAGATGATAATGAATTATTACGTAAATCTGAAACAAAAAAAAGAAGAAAATAATAAAAAATCAAAGGATTTCTACTAATATTATTGAATCATTAGTCAATATATTATGTCTTACCTAGTAATTGTAATCGTGTAAATTGAAATGCTTGTCTATGAATATCTTTTACATTATTATCTCTTAATTGTAAACGTTCAAGAGTTTGTAATTGTGAAAATATTTGTTCATTAATATTTCCATCTAATAAATTTCCATCTAAATTTAATTGTTTTAATTTTGGAAAACCATTAAATGTACATGTTTGAAATTTTAATTGATTTCGATCTAATTCTAATAATTCAAGTGATTGAAATATTTGTGTCGATGAAATAGACCATTCTTGTAAATAATTTGATGATAAATATAATTTTTCTAATTGAATTAAATTTGTTGTCAATGTTTGAATATCAATTTTTTGTAAACGATTATTTTTTAATGATAATACTTTTAATGTTGGAGGTAAATATAAATCATTTAAATATTCTAAAAATAAAAAGAAATAGATAATATATTTATTTCAAATTTTAATTGAAAAAAATATATATATATTAAATTATCAATATATACTGACCAATTCTATTATAATCTAATAGAAATTCTTTTAATTGATATAAATGTGTTAAAAATGTTAAATGTTTTTCGGTTGATAATTCATTATTTCTTAAATTTAATATTTCTAAATTAGATGAAAATACTTCAAATATATATTCATCAATTGTTTCAATACCTAAACAAAAACAAAAATAAAACGAAAAATAAAGACATATTGTTAGATAGACACATTATTCTTACCATTATAGGATAAATCTAATTCTTGTAATGATGATGATGATATTTGAATAGATTGTTGTGGTAATTGTTGAAAATGTTCAGTATTTAAATGTTTAATTTTATTTTTTGATAATATTAATATTTTTAATTTTTTTAAATTTAAATAAAGATGAATATCAAATATTTCTAAATAATTTCCCGATAAATCTAATCGTTCAATATTTGGAAATAATTGTATAAATCTTAATTTATTTTCAATTGTTTTTATTCCACATGATTGTAATGATAATTGTGTTAATTTTTTTGCACTATTTACTAACATTAAAGATTTAGAAGATGAAAAATCAGATAAATCAAATGAACGTATTGATAAACGTTTTAAATTTGGTAATTCTTCTAAAATTTGTATAAATTGTGTCGTTTTTAAATCATAATCACTATTTGATGAAACAGTAGAAGATAAAATTAATTCTTCTAAATAATTGGCTAAATCAACAAATGCATTTGATTCAAGTTTAACAAGTGGATTTGAATGTAATTCTAATTTACGTAATTTTAAACCCGAAAAAGCATTTGAATGTACAATTTGAATACGATTACCAGATAATACTAATTCATCAAATATTATATTGCCTTAAACACAGAGAGAGAAAAATTAGTATTACATTAGAAGAATGTCTGTGTTTTATTTGAAATAAATAATTAATCTTAAGATAATATTCATCATTATCTCTGCTAAATGGATCCTATACAAATCCTATACAAAATGTATAGAAATGATTTTTTTCTAACATTTTTCTTTTTTTTGCTTGATTGTCATAGTCAAAACACACTCGAAAGTGATTTTAAAGAGTTTTCAATCATGAGTGTTGTGTCTGTAAATCTCATTAAAATTTACTGATATAAAATCTCTAGAAAAATAGAATTCTAACGAGGGGACGTTCCCAACTGTCCAATCGCTTTCGAACCGAAACCTAGTGGACTATAGGTAGTCAACCATGCTGATTTCGAATATATATATATATATATATATATATATATTAGTATGAGACGGGCTAATACGCTTTCAGAGACTGGTTTTCTGGAAAACCAGCTTTTCAGAAACTTTAAAAAATAACCAAATCCTTTCTTAATGAAGCATGATTGTAGCCCGCACATTTCTGATTAGAATAAGACATCTCTCAGCTCTACACGACATTTTTTTGCAAAGTTATAGAATGTACAAGAAAAGCCCTAAATTAATTTTTTCCCTATTTCTGCGGCTTTGAGCGGAATGAACATTTAGGGCTTTTCTTGTAAATTCTATAACTTTGTAAAGAAAGATTGTGTGGAGCTGGGAGATGTCTCATTTTAATCAGAAATGTATGGGCTACAATTATGCCTCATTAAGAAAGATTCTGGTTATTTTTTAGAGTTTCTGAAAAACTGGTTTTCCAGAAAACCAGTCTCTGGAGACGTATCAGCCCGTCTTATGTTAATATTCGGAATCAGCATGGTCGACTACCTATAGTCCACTAGATTTCGGCTCGAAAACGACTGGACAGTTGGGAACTATTCCTCGTAAGAAAATCAGCCCATGGGTTCAATCGGAACTATAACTGTCAGTCGTAGAGAGTAATAGATTAAACTTTGTTAGATAAAATGAGATGTTTCAGATTTGTTTTGTCTATAATAATCGAGCTAAAAACATTAGAAAACACAAATTGTTTCTATAATTTTGTACAAAACTCTATTTAGATTTTTTCACTTTAAACAAATAAAAAAATAGACATACTGTTATTGAAATGTGGTATTTGTGTTAGTTGTTTTCTTGCACAATAAATATAAACGGTGCCTGTTTCTTGAATAGCACATCGACATTTTGTTTGTAAAGCAAATGGAATTGGACAAGTTGATGTAAACGAGAGTATAAATGAAATTTGAATGAAAAAATAAATGAAAAAAAAATATTTCAAGTTTAATGATCGTCGAATTTGTAATGATGAATGAATACGTATATGTGGTAAAAATTGACTAATAGACCAACGATAATAGTAAAATGTTAATTTTAAACGATACGATATTATATGAGATAACGATGATGACATGATATTATTTACGAGTTTATGATCTAAAAAAGAAAAGTGAGAAGGAAATAGAAAGTATGTAAATTGAAACGTGACAACATCAAATTATGAAAACAGATTCTACCAATAGAGTCGTTCTTAAACAAATACCTGAAAGAGGTAGTTATTCGTGTAATAAATGATAAATTAGCTAAATTAATGTAAAAAAAACATCATTGCCTGGCTTCACAGCGAATTAAACATTCAAAAGCATGAGAGAACTTTCCTTGAACGTGAAATGACATTTATCAACTTGAATTTATTCCGCTAGAACAAACTTCTTCTTTCTTTATACATGCCTGATTAAAAATCCTGCCCATATTTCGTAACTTCTTTTTTTACTCCTCCCTTCTAGGAATCAAACGCCCTCCTCTTCCTTCCCTAAAAATGTGATGTTTTTTGTATATGAGAGTAAAAAAAAAACTTTTTTTTCTTCTCTCACTCTCTCTCTCTCTCTCTCTCTCTCTCTCTATTTTGTTTGCGTAAGTCACCATTATAATAATATATTTAGGAATAAAAATTTATATTTTATTTCGTTTTTGAGTGACAGGGTCATCGTTGACAATCATCATCAATATCATCATCTTCTTTTTCTGCATAGTTAGATCAAATCAAGAATATAGAAGAGAAGAGATAAATTGTAAAATAAGACTAATTAAAGATAGAGCTTTTCTGTAAAAAAAAATATAAACAAAACGGAAAAGTATGATGACAATTCTTTTTCCGTTCATAACTGACCATTACATAAAAAAAAAAAAGAAGAAGAAGAAGAAAAAGAAAGTATTAGAGAGAAGACAGAAAGTGTTGAAGTAGACTAACCAAAATGCTGTACAACTTCAAAATGTTTATCTAATATTCGATTTTTTTGTTAAAATTTTTCACAAAACCTGTCAATAGATGATAAATTTTTTATTTTATTTGAAGTGTATACAAATAATTTTCTTCAATATTATACGATCAATCAATAGGAAAATCTTTTTACTTGATTTCATAAGATTGATATTTTTAAATTTTCTTCTCAAGTAACATGATTTTTCTGAAAAATATCATTTTATTTTTATTTATCAGAGTATAATCTATTTACCTACATACCACCATATTCAATACTTTCATTTTAACTTCTACTTAAAATCTAGGTAATTTATGTATATGTATGTGTATGTGTGTGTATATATATATATTGAGCGTCTGTTTATCATCAATTTTTTCAAATAAGAGAAAAGAAAAGAACTATCATCATTGTCCATATGTTTGAACATTTCTTTTTTGTTGTTATTCAGTTTTTTTTTCTATTTTTCTTTTCCTCTATTTATTGACCGAATGAACGCGTGTCTTTACATCTATTAAGTGCACGTAGTATATGTTTATCAGTGGGTTAGCAGCATTATATGTTCTAATGTGATTATTCAAGGTTAAAAACTGACACAACAAATTCAAATGAGAGAAAAAGAATATACTAATATGTTTATCAAACATGGACACTTTAATGTTATTCTTATTGCTGACAAGATTACGTGAAATGATGATATGTACAATACGCTAATAGAATCATTAACGATTACCAACGTATCAGTAAAATATACCAATAATAATTCTTGCTAATGGCTCAATATTCCCGAAAAATTGTTAGACATTCTCTTTACCTGAAATGATTTGACGAACATCAACCAACGAACGACAAAAAATGATAAATGCTAATCACTCACTGATTAAATCACGATTTATTTCCCGAATATATATATAGATTACGCAATGTTATCTCATTTTTTTTTTCTACTGCTGTTTTTCTATGTAATAAATTATACGTCGCGATTGTGTCAGTTTCTCTCTCTCTCTCTCTTTCTCTCTTTTTCTCTTCATTACGTAGAGTAGTGCACTATTTGCATTTTGACACAGTTATATATAGTTGAAAATTGAAAATTATTTGACAATAACCTTGTTTAATGTATAATACTCTCTATTTTTCCCATTTGAGACTATCAGCTGATAAAATAATGTTTTTTAATTATTTAACGACTTTCAAAATATAAAATTATATTTCGCTTACGGCCTCTATATATTGATCAAACGTCGGAAAAAAAAAATTAATTTTAACTATTTATTATGATTATTTTAACAGAAACTAATGAAAAATAGATCAATTTTTAAAATTGATTTTGATTAAAAACAATATTAAAAAACAACAACAACAATATCTATACACTTACTAAACTCGTATACCTTCTTCTTATGAAAAAAGAAAATAGAATGTTTAAGATTTCTTCTCTTTATTCAAATTGATTTCATTCAATTAAGATTGATTAATAATTGAAGAGTGAAAGCCTTATGTAATTCTATATTTTATAGATAAACACTTACTCTCGATTACAAAATACAAATATTCTATAGTCGAGATAACATAGTCAAATCAAAAATTGAGATCACTTAGACATTTAAGTTGTCAGTAAACATTTTTCACAGATTATTACATAGAAAAACAAATTTTTTCTCTCATTAGGCTTTATTAATTGATTCTGATGTCTTGTAATATGAGCGTGTATTACAAATTTCTGATCGTAGCACATTCTCATCTCTTTTATTCTCAATCAAACTATTAAATAGAAACTACTGCTTTTCAAAGTATTAGAGGTTTTTGCTCGAATTGTCAAAGTGATAATCAATATTAACAGAATGTTGAACATTATTTGTGCAATTACTGATAAAAATGAAAAGTCTTGACTCTGTCACACATTTTCTCATGTACTTTTTCATCTTTTTAGATTTATTATACTTGTTGCCTTGTGATATAAACTATTATGGTGATCATCTTATGATTAGTATTCGAAAATTTATTTTTAAGTATAATGCCTTATAAATTAAACTCTCTCTATAGAAGATGATAAGTATGTTGTACAAGCTTATCGAGTTAATTGAACGATTACGGTTATTGTCATAGAAAAAATGAAATATTGTTTACATATATATATATAAACACACATATACACACGCTGTTGTAACAAGTTTTCTAGTCATAATAATAAAAAAAAAGAAATATTTCTTAAATCAATAACCTACCGGCAATATCGAGAGAGATGTTTTTTTAGACTATATCTTTATCTGGTAATCCAAAAAATTTACGAAGAGAGAGAGAGAGCAAAAGATAAAACTGTCTGCTGCGACGGATAGAAGGAAAGAGAAAATATGTTAATTTACTGACAATAGCCATAAGAAGAGTTCATCATATAGAAAATTGTTTAACACGTAATATGAAGTTTTTTTTATAGATAAGAAAAATCTGCTTTCATATATTTGTAGAATTAGACTCAAGAGAAGCAAAAAAAAAAAGAAGTTTATATACGTAATACTATCTATCCAATGGTCAGTAATGATGCCAATTTGAGAAACGATATTTGTACAGAGTAATTGGATGAATGTAATAAAAATAGAAATGTGTGATGGGAACAATGAACAGCTTATGTGTGTGTAGACACGAAATAATGCTAGTTAATAGAAATAGTGAGAAAGTTAATAGTTTTGAGTGACTGGTCATTGATCAATTTTTATATGAACATAGTTGGATTTTAGGGCGCTATTTTATCAGTGTACAGTGAAAAAAATGTTATTTTCTGATATATATTCTCTTCAGTGTACTCTATCGCACAGGAAAAAATCATTTCATTCATCGTATAATGATCTCTCTTGAAACTGTGTTTCGAACCTTGATCTACAAGATTTAGTGAATTTTTGTATATTAATTTTTCACTCGTGTTAGCTGACATTATGGACTATTATTGTGTTGTCTGACATGAAAGATAACATTGTGTTTCTGATATCGTTTTTCTTCTTTCTTCTCCTTCTTTAAAGTGTTTTTTAACGGTAAGAATAAGAAAGTCCTATGTAGTAAAAGAAATGAGTAGAACAGCTGGAAATCAACTAATAATCTAATTGAAAAATGAATTTGTTTCGCCCAATTTAATCACTGATGTGATATTATCTGTCTACAATAGAAAAAAGAAAATATTATACCCAAATACAAACAAAAATACACAATTATTTTCGTTTTATACAGGTGGAAACAAACGATTTCCGTGTATTCGTCATATTAATTAATGACTCGTTTTATTAATCTTTTTAGAAAGATAATACCTAAATGCAAGGGCATTTTAATTAGACGTGACAACAGAAATGCTTAAAGTGAAGAAAAAAAATCTACAACGTAATTATTACTATACTTATGCTGAAAATTAAATATGTCATCAGGATGGCAAGATATCTGTCTTGTCCTAACCAATCATATACTTACAATATGAAAGTTACAATTGTAATTCATTCACTATCTTTTTGCAAAATTAAAAATGTTCTTCTCTGCCTATTGAGAGTCTCTTACGTTTCATTGTGTTGCTGCTGATATATTTTGACAACAATATATTTTCAAGAGATATCCTTCTTTCTATTGTGATGCAATCGTGAAAGACTAAAAATGTACATTCACAGTCATACTATTGTTCTCCTTCTGTCTCACTTATCTTGATTGACTGTTTAGTGACACTTATCTTTTCTTGAGCACATTCAGACATACACACACACACACATACACAACTGTACGATACTATATTTTTTTACACTTATGATACAATTAGTAAATCATCGACATTAATCAATGGAACACCGAATGATGGTAGTAGTAGTAATTATAATAATCACAGGTTCACTTTTAGTATGAACACGCAATAGAAAGGGCCGACTAATTGGTCTAATTAATACTTAAAATAAATTTTTTATTGTTGTCATATTTAAGTATACTGAACAACATATACACATACACATACATACAAAGTTTTCTTAGAGAATAAAAATAACTCACTAATTCAACTAAAGGGAAACGTGATCATGAAAAAAAATATATTGGATTAAACGAGACGTATATCTTCAAGAGTATAAACCTTGAAATTTCTGTAGAGTAAGTGAAAAAAAAATATATAGTCCTAAATGGGAAAAATATCATTCGTATTAGAAATAATCATTTCTTTCGTCCTCAAAACTTGATATTTTAATCATGTACACGTGTGATACTTGAAATATATATTGGTTAAATTGTCCTTATGTTGTCACACACACACATACACACAAATCACTGTACGTATTGTACAATCGTATCGAGTGTCAAATATACTTGATATATTTTCTACAAAAGTATTTTTAAAATTTTTTTATCCAATTTTTTTTTATTTTTTAATTAAAGAAAAATTTTTGATACGATTACGTCATTGATGTTCTTCAAATTTTTTTTCATTTCACAATGATTACTAAAATTTGAC